CATCATCATCATCATCATCATCATCATCATCATCATCATCATCATCATCATCAGATGATGATGATGATGATGATGATGATTATCATCATGTTATTGTTTACGTAGTTATCATGTGATAGCCTGTGAAAATAAGGCACATCATCATTCTTTTCACATTTCAAACTTGTGTTGCCACATGAAACCTTTTTCACTTTCTTTCGTGCCCAGTTTTGCATTTTTTTAAAACATCTCAATATTTGACAAAGTAAAGCATATAATTAAAGATTAATAACCGTGCGAAGGGCAACGCTTCGAAAACACGTTAAAGGAACGCACTAATTTATTATTTTCCTGTAAATTTGGGGGAAATGTTTAAAAAAGCGTGATAAATACTTCTGAAATGGAAATATAGATAGAAAAAGCAGCTTTCAAATACAGCTGAACTTAAATTGTCTAAGACGGCCACGCATTGTCGAGTGGAAAAATGGCTGTTTTAGACAGGTGAATGTCTTACACGGTGTCATTATAATGTTTTAAAAAATACGCACGGGAAGAAATGGGAAATGGCCGTTTGCACAGGTGACTATCTTATGCAAGTGGCCGTTAGATCAGATTCGACTGTGATTTTACGGTTTTATTTTTAGATGGGAAACTTTCAGAACTTGCAAATGTTTGGATGGCTACACTTATTCTCGCTGATTTCAATGGGGTTTGAATAGAGTTGGGCTGTTCAAGTTACAGAGTTGTTTTGCGTTATTTGGCCTACTACAGTACTGAGTTTTTTTGCGTTACTTGGCCTCCTCGCGCAATCCTTTTCAAGAACATTTCCTTTATTCCATTATTTTGAACGTTCTCTTACTCTACCTACTTGTGTTACCCACATTTTGTAACTTTTGAGTGACGACTGGAAATGTTCTGGGAGTTAGGGGTAACTTGTTATATATAGCTATCTTACGAATTACGTGTGGGCGACATATTGAAAATTCGGAGAGCTTCTGTAAACTCGAATTATACATGTGCATCAGCCCCACAGCGAGCCACGAGTCTCAATCGAAACTTGTATTGGTGTGTTCGTCCTTCCTGAGGGAAGAAGACCTTCTTCATCATATCCGGGGGGTGGGGTGGGTCCTCAGGTGGCTGATTAAGCCAATCTTCGCCTTGAAGGTCATTGGGCAGTGAGGGCAAGGTAGCGCTGTATTGCGGGAGCACTGCTTGCACGGGACTTTCTTGTTGCGCGCTTGCTCTTCGCTGTTTCCAGACGCCGTGATTCATACGCTGCCGCTCCCTTGCTGATGGCTCCACGCCAGGCTGCACGGTTTTGGGCTGTCGTTTCCCACGAGTTGTGGTCAATGCCGAAGTCTTTCAGAGAGGCCTTCAGGGTGTCTTTAAACCGCTTCTTCTGACCTCCATGGGAGCGTGCTCCAGTCTGAAGTTCTCCATATAGGATGCGTTTTGGCAGACGCTCGACTGGCATTCTGACTACGTGGCCAGCCCAGCGGAGTTGTGTCTTTCGGAGCATTGTGAAGATGCTCGACATACCTGTCTGCTCGAGGATTTCAGTGTCTGGGACTTTGTCCTGCCACTTCACTCTGAGCAGTTTGCGGAGGCAGTTGAGGTGAAATCGGTTGAGTTTCTTGGCGTGCCTCTGGTATACTGTCCAGGTCTCGCTTGCATATAGTAGTGTGGTGAGGACAATGGCTTTGTAGACACTGAGCTTTGCGTTCCCACACTGATAAATGTAGACGTCCAAACGCAGAACTCGCCTTTGCAATTCTAGAATGGGTCTCATCGTTGATGTGCACACTGCGAGAAAGAGTGCTGCCTAGGTACACAAACTTGTCCACAGTTGCTAGCTTCTGCCCGTTCACTGTCACAGTAGGTTCTTGGTAGGGGTTTTTCGGTGCAGGCTGATACATAACCTCTGTCTTCTTCGTACTGATGGTGAATCCGAAGTTGCTGCATGCATTGGAGAACAGATCCATGGAGTGCAAAAAATCTTCCGCACTTCCAGCGTTCAAGGCACAGTCATCAGCAAAGAGGAAGTCTCTTAGCTTGTCAACATGGACTTTTGTTTTGGCTTGCAGTCTTTTGAGGTTGAATAGCCTCCCATCAGTTTGATATCGGATGTCCATGCCTGGGTTGGCTTCTCGAAAGGCATCTGTAAGCATAGCTGAGAACAACATGCTAAACAATGTTGGGGCAAGAACACAGCCTTGTTTCACTCCGTTTGTGACAGGGAAGGAAGTGGAAGATTCTCTGTCGTCAAGAACTTGTGCTTGCATTCCATCGTGAAGCTGTCGGACCACTTGGATGAATTTGTCTGGGCATCCGAACTTGCTCATGATCTTCCAGAGACCGTCGCAACTGACGGTGTCGAATGCTTTGGTGAGATCGACAAATGTTTTGTATAGGTCGACATTTTGTTCCTGGCACTTTTCCTGCAGCTGGCGCGCAGCAAATATCATGTCGGTGGTACCTCGCTCTTTCCTGAATCCACACTGGCTCTCTGGAAGTAGGCGCTGCTCAAGATGATCGATGAGCCGACGTTCCAGCTATGCAGAGGAGAGAGATGCCTCTGTGATTGTCGCACACCTGTCTGTTGCCTTTCCGTTTGTAAAGGTGGATGATAGACGCATCTTTGAATTCCTGGGGGGCAATTTCCTGGTCCCATATGACGTCTATCAGTTGGTTCAACTTGTTGCGCAGCAGTGGTCCAGTATGCTTGTATACCTCTGCTGGGATTGCATCAGCACCTGGAGCCTTGCCAGAAGATAACTGATGGACGTCTTTCTCTAGTTCCGGTAGTGTTGGAGGGTTGCCCATGTTAAGGTTGATGGTGTTTTGGGGCAGTCTGTTGATAGCCTCCTCGTTGATGTGGGGGAGCCTATTTAGGACAGCATCAAAGTGCTCAGCCCATCTGTCAAGAATGTGGGCCTTCTCTGTCAGCAGTTTTTGTCCGTCCGCGCTCAGTAATGAAGATGAGCTCGCTGGTTGAGGTCCATACACCGTTTTGATGGCATCATAGAAAACCTTCATATCTTTATTGTCAGCGTAGTTTTGGATCTCTTCAGCCTTCTGCTTTAACCATGAGTCCTGCATTTGTCGTAGTTTCTGCTGGACTGTACTGCGAATGTTGTTGTAGGCAGCTTGGTTTGCAGGGGATTTGTTGTTTTCAAGCACTCTTTTGATCCTGTATTTTTCCTCCAGAAGGTTATTTATTTCGGCATTGTTTTCATCAAACCAGTCCTGGTGCTTGCGTTTGGTCTGGCCGATAGTCTCATAGGCTGTTCTATAGACCTCGTCCCGGAAGGCTTCCCAACTCTCTACAACGTTATCAGATATCTGAATTTGTTGTCCTCTTTCTTCCAGGGTCTCTTTTAACTCTGTACTGACTGCTTGCTTCTTCAGGCTTACAACGTTGAGGCGTTTGGGTGCTGGCTTCCCCTGGGGGCGTCGCTTGGGAAGTATCCTGATGTTTATTTTTGAAATGATGAGGCGATGGTCCGTCCAACACTCTGCACCACACATGGCCTTGGTTACTCTGACGTCCTGTCTATCCCTTTGCCTGACGATGACATAGTCGATAAGGTGCCAGTGCTTAGAGCGGGGGTGCATCCATGACGTCCTGTTACGGGCAGGGAGACGGAACACTGTATTGGTAACCAGAAGTTCGTGTTCAGCACAAAGCTGCAGGAGGAGAAGGCCGTTGCTGTTACATCCACCAATGCCATTCTTACCAAGGATGTTCTCCAAGGACTGGTGGTCGACACCGACTCGGGCATTGAAGTCGCCGAGAATGATCAACTTTTCAGTTTTTGGCACAGCTGTCACAAGGGAATTAAGTTTTTCATAGAACTGGTCCTTTATATCGTCTGGGTTGGTCATGGTAGGTGCGTAGGCACTGATGATCGTGGCCTGTTTCTTTCCTGTGAGTGTCAGTTTCATGGTCATTATTCTGTCGTTGATACCTTGGGGGAGGCTGCTCAATTTGTTCACAAGTTCATTCCTCACTGCAAAGCCAAAGCCAGCTTCACGGCGGTCGTCTTTGGCTCGCCCACTCCAGAAGAATGTATAGCCTGCTCCAGTCTCCTTGAGCTGTCCCTCCTCGGCAAGGCGTGTCTCACTAAGGGCAGCAATGTCAACCTTATATCTTGCGAGTTCTCGACCGACCAGTGCGGTTCTTCTCTCTGGTCTATTTGCCTGTGCGTTGTCCAGTAGGGTGCGCACATTCCATGTGCCAAAGATGAATGGCTTCATCTTGATCTTTTGCTTCTTGTTGTTCTAACCGCTGGTGTGGGATCCCCGCCAGCCGTGGCGTGTTGGCCAGGGTAGGTGAGGCAAGCAATTTTTGGGACACCTTTTCTAGTTCGCTCCTCATGCTATGGAGGTGAGCAGTGCGATCCTAAAAGGGGCTGCTCAGTCGCTCAGGGGGCTGCCAAATCTCGCTCTTGCCTCGGTTCAAGTGAAAGACGACCATATGGCCTGAGCCGCCTGTGTGCAGGTCTGCGTTTACAGCTCCCAGTGTATCCACACCTGCTGCTTCGTCGCTCGCCCATCGCCACAGAGCTTGGAAAAGTTGATGATGGGGGAGGAGGGAGAGGAAGGATGAAGTTGATGAAGATGACTTGCGCGTGAGTTGGATTAAAGTGAGGGAGAGTTGCGCATGGTCGTCAGCCTCACTCTCTTGTCCCGGCCCATCTGGGTCCAGTGGCAAGACAAAGTCAAGACGGCTGGAGATGAGAAGGGATGCAGTGAATGGCCAGCAGCGTCCTAGGTGTCTAACTGCGTCTTGTTTGCGCTCCACGGCGCTTTGCTGTATCCGCTTTTCTGTCCGTTGAACCAGTCAAGTGGTTTCTTCCGCGCCATCCGCCGGATGCAGTCTTTTGTGTCAGTAGGTAGACAAGCCCCACCTCCCCAAGGACGAAGCAGCAAGTTGCTCTAAACATGACCATGGACCCAGGGTCTCGCACGTAGAGTTGTTCAGCACGCCCAGCACTTGGTGGGTTTGTGGTCAGAGTGTCCTTCTCCTAGATGAATTGTCTGTCAAGGCTCTCGAGCTCCATCTGCCCGGGTTTTGAAATGAGAGATTTCCTTCTCCTAGGCAGATTTACAACAAGTGGTTGTAGGCTCTGCCCGCCTTGCTCAGTTATACCGCCGAGGGCTCGGTCGCGACCATAGCAGGCTATTTCCGAGGCGGTCAAAAACTTGTATTATACCTGATGGGGAGGTCCAATATAAATTTCGTTAGCTATGGTTACACCTAATTGTTTTAGTATCTGATTTGAGATCTTCGGGGCTTTAAAATGTTGTTACAGATGTTGTGTTTTCGTGTCACACCTTACTCACCAGCTAACAGCTTTGAAGGGAGGCGTCTGAAGAAAAAAGGGCGCGCAAATAATGTTACACATAGGAGAAGCTGTCATTTGTGATCTGGTTTGTAAAGACGTCTTAGAGTGCTACGCAAAACTTGAATCTTCCAAGCGGTCTGAGCTTTCAGCACTTCTCGCGACCTCATGGACCTTTCCTTTTATCGTACGTATATAAAAAACTTTCAGGTTAAGCTGCCTCACCAGGAGACCAATTGTCTGCAAAGCGTCAATGCCAGAGCCGCGTTACTAGTTTATAACCTCTGGGGTAGAGCCAATACGTAAACAACTTGGCCATACATGGGCACACCGTCGGTTCCTTTTTGCTGCAGTGTAAGTGTATTGAAGTATTGAAACATGGAAGTCTTTTGATATGAAATATTTTTCCTCGGTCTCGGGAGCCCCAGCATTACATAGACTTCTGACGGATTTAACCTAAAAGAAAAAAAAGAAAGAAAAGAACCCCCCCCCACCGAAATTTGAACGGAAAAAGGAGAACCACGGCAACTCTACGTGGCTCTCTGACATTATGAATAGGGTCAAGCTGCACCAAGTGAGAGAGCGGCTACTTAGTTTGCACTGACGTTTATCCACAAAGCTGTACATTATTTTTTTGCTTGTTATTTGTGCAAAAATCTAACACCGACGCGAAGTATTTGGTTTTCATCAACAGCTTTGCTACGTCATAAAGCTATACACTACTCTATAATCATGAATGTCGACAAAGATATTTGAGAAATATAGACAAAGTGACACCATTAGCTACATCAGTAGGCATTGTTCGTGCCGACATAAAAAAGGACGAAAGATATGAACTTGATAATTGTTAAAAAATCAATAAAAAGTTGATGATAATTAATCTAATTGTTTTCGGGCTGCACTTACATTTCATGACTATGTCTGTGTGTCTGTGTGTCTGTCTGTCTGTCTGAGTGTCTGTCTGTATGTCTGTCTGTGTGTCTCTGTGTGTGTGTGTGTGTGTCTGTCTGTCTGTCTGTCTGTCTGTCTGTCTGTCTGTCTGTCTGTCTGTCTGTCTGTCATCAGTTCAGAAAACTTTGCCGGTCTCAAAATGTATATCCAGCTAGTGTGTAAGGCCCTCTTCTTTAAAAATGTGGTGTATCTATCATTTGTAGAACCTTGTATAGGAGTGCCTCCATGGGGGTTCTAGTGGTCTTGAAGTACGGTGTTTGCCTCTATTTCAAGTGGTTAGAATCCTGACAGCGACGAAAAAATCATATTCTCTAACATGTGTCCCTTTCACTTCCTTTCCCGTTTTCTCGTCCTGTTCTGTCATCTGCTTTCATCTCCACTTTCTCCCGCCAACCCTGGCCTCCTCTGGGCTCAACAATTTTTTCTTCTGACTCTTTCTACTGCTACTCCTGTCTCCTTCTTACTGCTGCCTTTCAGCCACACCCCAGATTTTAGAGTATATTAGATCGAACATTTGGCTTTTTCGGATAAGGGCTAAAAATCAGGGAGGTCGTGTGTGCATGTTGCGCATGTTAAAGAACCTTTGGTGGTCCTTGAATAGACAAGAGTAGGCTCGGCTGCCACCCGGCAAAAGTCAAAATTAATTCCAACCCAAACTGAGAATACTCTATAGTCGGGTCAAAAATTCGTGGTGGCTCCTAGCTCTAATCATATTTTCCCACAATAATTAAGGCTAGATTAAAAACAGTTTTCTTCATAAATTTATATAAAATACTATATTTTTCCGTCACGCGGAAAATGTGATTGTTCACTGCAATTCGCGCTTCTCACACACATTTTGCATACGCATATGGCCTACGTCACAGTTCACCAATGATACTTTTTATAGTGCGCTCAAAAGTTCGTGGCGCAACTTATCCTCAAATATCTCTTTAACGGGTGAATCACTGTCCCCCGTACTTTGCACAGCAGTTTGTATCAATTTGTCTTAACTTAATCATATTTTCCACAACAACTGAGGCTAGACTTAAAAACTTTTCTTCATAAATTAATAAAATACTATAAATCTCCATCACTCCGAAAATGGGGTTGTCCACAGCACTTCCCGCTTCCCACACGCATTTTGCATACGTCACAGCTCACCAATGACACTTTTTAGTGGCAAAACTAGTCACAAGAAATACATTATATATGAACACTCGTTCCATAAGCATAATGTTGAGATTAGAGAAACATGACAGACCTGCGTTTACACGCGATATTGCCTCAGCTATAGATCTAAACATTTTAAAACAATATGTAGAAAATACCCACTTACATTTTTTTGTTAAGCCAAATTGATTCAAGTCATTGTGCAAAAGCTGGAGAGTCTATGTTAGATAATTAGGAAATATTTGACAATAAGTTGCGTCATCAATTATTATTTTTGACCGCACTATAGTGGCAAAATTAGTTACAAGAAATTATTTATATAGTGAATAACATTTTTTGTACTAAAGGTTTTCTAAATATGCGTGTGACGATTAGAAAAAAACAACAATAACGGACTTGCTTTTAAAAGAGATATTTTCTCAACTAGTGTAAACCTTTTCAAATCTTTAGAAACCACCCACCTAGATTTTCTTATTAGTATTAATTATTAAGGAATTTTCTAGAATACAGTCTTTTAACGCGTGTTTACAAAATGTTGCTCTGTTAAGACAAATAGATACAAGTCATTGTGCAAAAGCTGGAGATTATATCTTCGACACCTTAGGAAATATTTGACAATAAGTTGCGCCTCGAGTTTTTAACCCAACCGCCGTCAGTATATAAAAATAACATTATTTATTAACATAGAGAAACTTCGAAGTAGGAATGAGGCAGCCTGAAGGCAAGTGATCCAAGGAAGTATACCGCCCCCCCCCCGGTAAAATACTTGAAAATCAGTTACTCTGAAGGTTGAAGAACCAGCAGTGACCCCTGAGATTTGGCAGGGGAACATACAGAAGAAACAAAGATCTTTAGAAAGTGCTTTCAAATTGTATATTAGGCCAAGTTGACACTTTGTCCCCTTTACAATCTTCAAAATCATCAACTTTTAGTAATGGTACTCTATTGACAATATTTACAGTTTGTTAGCCATAGGCTGTTTTTTTTCCACCCGTTAATAAGGATTATGGTTGGTTAGAGAATTTGCGAGCTTAGTGCTATTTTACATTTACTCCGTTTTTTTTCCAGTTTTGATATAAATCGTCCTGAAGGCACTGGATTTCAGTTTCGAACTGGTGAGTTAGAACGAAATAAATCTGTAGATTGATACTGATGTCTTTATAAGTAAGGCAGGAAAAGTGTTTTGAAGATATTCACAGCAACTGGTTGTCGAGAGGCAAAGATTTGGTTTTAAAAAATCGATGCATTGTAATGCCGTTTAACCTAAACACGGTGTGAGAGTGAGACTGAGAGTGAATGCGCACGCGCGCGCGCGCGCGTGTGTGTGTGTGTGTGTGAGAGAGAGAGAGAGAGAGACAGAGAGAGAGAGAGTGTGTGTGTGTGTGTGTGTGTGTGAGAGAGAAAGAGA